ATAAACAATAATAATAAACAACAACAACAATAATAATAATAATAATAATAAAATAATACGATCATGACTAAAAAGGGTCATGAGATGTAAAACAAGTCAGTGAGTAGAGATGTATGTTGTATTCTGATGCAGATTCATATAGAAAAGATAAGCATGAAGATTTCTGGAAAAAGTGATGAATTGATTTGAAATTAAAAGGAATCTAGCAAACTTAGCTTCAATGGTTCTGCAGAATTCATAAGAATTTAAGGAAACAATGATTCCAAATATTAAATCAAGTCTCTTTTCTAAATTCTCTGTACAGACTACCATTTTTAGTAAAAGACCTTACTTAGAACTCAAGATATCCTAATTCCAATTGAATTAGAAGTCTTAATTAAGATAGTATTTGTGACGATATTTTTACCCCTGATAGAATAAGTAATTCCACAAAGATGCTAACTACTTTTCCAAAGTGCTTCTACAAATCTTAAAAAACTAAATATACCTTAAAATGCGTTAAAATACTTAAAATGCCCTGAAAATAAAGTCCAAATTAAAATTAAAATTAAAATAGTCATCTTTTGAAATTAGACAAAACTTATGGTGAGAATGATTTGTCCTGCATTAGACTCCCTTGGTTGGAGAAAACTCTTCCTCGAGTTTTGACGTGGAGTAGTGGACTAATGTGAATCCTCTGTTACACCCATAGTCTTTTTCCACCCAAACATTGCAAATTTACATTCAGGCTTGATCCTCTTGTAGGTAGGTTATGGGCAGTAGGGAAAAGTCCTCTAGGTAGAAATCTTAATATGTATTTTGAAAAATTGATGCAAACATATCAAATTCAATTATATCTAAATTATACCTTTGACCTTTGCTATTTTAGGAGTTCTAATCCATCTTGAACACCCCTCTTTTCACAACTTGTTCCTTGTAAAAATCAAAATTACCCATGGCCTTCAAGCTTGCATCAAACCCCAGGCTTTTGTCCATGGCTCCCACTACAGATAGAGGAATCAAGTTTTTCTAGTTCACTTCACCATCTAGGGTTTCCTAGTTCATGTCACCATCTAGGGTTCCGGCTCCTTTTTAGAATCTAATTTCTTATCACTATCCCTAAGAGAAAGTCCAATTTCTTCAACTCCTTCCAAAGGTTCTTCATCATAAATTGGCTCATCTACAATCAAGGTTTTCTCATGCAGCTCTTCCTATAATAGGATCACCTACAAGATCAAGAAGGGGTAATTTAATCTGAAAATAAAAAATGTACGCCGATCTGATTCTTTTAGATCTCAACTCAAATGATCTTCTTATGGAATGTTTTCTCTCGCCTGGATAAAGAATGAGTTTACCTTCTCACCTCAAATTCATCACTACCATGAATAGCGTAATCCCCTCGTTCAGAGCTGGTGGGAGTCTCCAGTCGAAACGCCAATTCTTCGACTCTCTCATTAGGCCTAAAAATTTTATTTGTCGACACAGCTCAACCCACCTTGGCAACAACCACCACGTTTTCCTCTAGTGGCCATCGTGCAAAACTGCAGCGGATCTACGGGTGGTTTAGGAGAGACGACGTGCGCTATTACCAACTAATATAGAAACAAATTTTGTTAGGACGAAATCAAGTAACATATTGTTTGGGAAATTAAAGAGGAAACCTACAAACCAGGTGTCCAAAGCTCTGCACTTGCTCAAGCAGAAATAACTTCTCAAAACTCGATTCAGAATGGGAAACCCTAATATAACCCCCCAATTATAATAAAGGACCTTACTTAGAACCCAAGAATTCCTAATTCCAATTGAAATAGAAGTCTGAATTAAAGCAAAATTGACATTTTTATTCTGATAGAACAAATATTTCCACTTTGAACATAAAATCTTTTAAAAAAAAAAAATCCCTAAGATCCAAAAAAATATTCAAGACCCTAAAAATCCCAAAAAATACAGCCATAAAGTTTAATAAGAAAAATTCAAAAATAAGAAGCATCTTGTCATGCATCAGAGTCCCCTACTTACAGAAACTCGTCTTCAAGTTTATAGTAGGCTAAGATGAATTTTACCACGCTGATGATCTTCAACTTTTGCTAGCTCTAAGAGTATGGGCAATATGGAGAACCCCTTAAGAAAATGCTCTAGATACGTGTATTAAATTATTGATACCAAATCTCCTTCATTCCAAAGATTGCACACATTATCCTAGGACGTAGGTCATGAAAACTTTATACTGTTCTGCTTTATCTTTATCAAAGATTGGTTCATCCACAAAATATCTTTTTTCATTATAAATTGGTTCACCTACGAGATCGCATTCTTCATTGAAAGCGGATCCCAATTTGTGACTTGCTGATTTTACGAGAACAAAGATTTTTCATAGTTCGTCTCTTCAAGATCACGAATCAAAATGTCTTCACAAGTGTCGAGATTATCTCTCCCCTTTGTTGTGAGTTTAAATATCCATTGAACCTCACTCACCACTATGATTGGACTTAGATCCGCTAACGTCGACCAGAGATTGTTCAAAGCGGGTTGGGTGCACCTCTGATGCCATCTCCTCGAACCTCTTCAATTAGAACAATTTTGATGTATCTCATACTCCAATTTCTCAATTTTCCTCTTGCGATGATTGAATTCCTCTCATGTAACTTTACCACTAGCACAACCACAAACTCGACCTCCTCTAGCAGCCAATTGCAAAAATTTGCGGTGGATCCTAGGATACTTTAGCAAGAACCCTGCTCTGATACTAGATGATGTAGATTCGTACCAGGAAAAAAAAAGGATTTCTAAAAGAAAAACTAATCAATTGATTTGAAATTAAAAGGAAACTGTCAAGCCTAGCTTCAATGGCTCTGCATATTACACAAGAATTCAAGGAAACAATGTTTCTAAATAATAATTCTTTTTATTTTTTGAGAATTCCAAATAATAATTCTTATTCTCAATAATAATTCTTATTCTCTTCTAAATCCTCTGTATAGACTCTCAATTTATAATACACTAATTGTAACAAAATTCCTAATTAAACAATCATGATGATATTTTTACCCCCGATAAAATAGGTAATTCCATAAGGACACTAACTACTTCTCCAAATGGTTCATAAAATCCTAAAAAATAAAGAACCCTACAATTTATAAAAAACTTAAAGGGCCCTACAAATAAACCCTAAAATTGAGAATTGAAATATATAACCTTTGAAATTAAAATTAAAAGCAAGAATGATGTTGTCCTGCCTCATAACTTCATAACATTGCACTTGGCATGGAGTCTTTGGTGGATATGCAATCATTAGAAGTGATTGACAGAACCATGGAGGATGTTCCTGCACATATGGGATAACTCGCAAATGACGAATCTTATCAGATATTGATCAACAATACCCTGACACTCACTTGTTGAGATTTTAACATGTATTGATACCTGTAGAAATGGGGCTTGATAAGAAGGTATATATTGCTCAAGCCTGGATTTGAACTCACGACCTCTTATGTAGAATATGTATGATGTAGCACTTTGCGAACGACTTTTACGTACTTAAAGACATTATTGTTTTATATAGAAAATGTATGCATTTAGGCTGAACTACTATACAACTTTGACATGTGTTGAACACCAAGTTCAGTGTTGTTGTCCATGTAACACTGGTAATGATGATGGGAAGTCTTGTGGGGAACTGTACAGATGCCGTTGTTACGTGAAATGTGGCAATGTAGATCAAGCACAGGATATGTATTCAAAAAAAATTCTGTAATTATACCGGCAAGTACTACTTTCATAAGCCACTTTCAATTTTATAAACAAGAAAAAGCCCTACTACAGTCTAAGGATCGTCCGTTACTGCCATTAAAACAAACCTTTTCTTCAACAACAAAGGGGATCAAGAACAAAGGAAGCCTTTTTACTGGAAATAGTTGCCTTAGGATCACCTCCAAAGGACTTACATACATTAGATCACCTAATTTGAGGGTGCACTTATCTCGATCCCTGATGAATCCCCTTAAGATAGGAAGCACTTATGGCAAACGTCAAAATAGGGGCAGGAGAGCATAACCAAGAAGATCAAGATCTAGGTGGGCATCCTACCCTTGTCTGATCTTAGGTGGAGGGTGCCACCCTACAATGTCTTAGGTAGTGCATGACACCCTAGGCGGATCCAGGTGGTGTGTGCCACCATAGGAGGCCAAAAAGGTAAGAGGAGAGAGAGAAGAGAGGAGCGTGTGAGAGTGGGAGAGAGAAAGAGAGGCTTCTCTGAAGTGTGCTCTAAACCTGGGATAGGACCCCCTATTTATAGGGGTATTTGGGCTAGGGTCTGCCATCTTATTTGGGATTCAATCTGGACCACTTATCTCCGGTGATCTATGGAGTAGGACTATTGATCTCTGATAATCTGTTTAAATATTTTTGAAGTTGATTTACAAACACTTGGTCTATTCCACTATGGTAGTAATGCCTAAGATGTTGGTGAAGAGGTGGGTTTGAATCCCATTATAGATGTCTTTTTTCTTGAAAATCTTCACAAAATGATTTGGAGAACTTCTTGATCTTTTCAAGTATAACTATTTGACTCTGCAAGTTGATTTGGTTAGATAGTGACCTATTCGGTCATGAGTTTGCTTGTTTGAACTATTGTTCCGATTCATTTGAAGGGTATAAAAAGTGCTGGACTTGAATAAAATTTGGTTCACTCCCTGCACTCCAGTAAACCAATTCAAAAGGTTTAGTGCTTCTACAATTACAATTAACAAAGTCTCCCAAATGTATATCTCTTACTATCAGTGTCAGGTGTGACAGTTCGAAGAGTCTTACAAGTTAGGAATGTTAGACAAAGAAATAGATTTCAACCCATCTAAAACTAGGACAACCTAAAATTGATAACGAAGAATCAATAATGTATTGGATGACTCGTCTTCACCATTTGAAAAAGAGAAATTACATGTAGTTGAGAATTCCAATCCCATGTAGAGGTGCATAGTTTTCCATTATTTGGCCCCATATTATTGTTATCCCTTTCAGTAGATCTTGTTCTGCACCTTTGATTGGGAAACTAAAATTCATTTTCTCAAAAACTTTTTATTGGTATACATATCTCAAAAAGTGACTAATGGCAAAAGATTAAGAATGTAAACAAAAATGTGATGATAAAGGGATCTAGATGGCTTGATCTAATGGGTGACAAAGCTACTTTAGAACTTAGTTGCAGGAAAAACCTGCCTAAGGTGATTATCCTCCTTGAGAGTGATTTCTCAAATTTATGGAGTACAATTAGCTGGAGCATGTTCCCATTCATTCAAGAATGCAGTCCCCCAACCTGTGAGGAACTCGCTTCCCTTAAGGATATCAATCCAAAATATATGAACTCTTTGGCTTAGATCTATATTCCTGTGCTTTAACATTGGTATCTAAGAAGGCCGAATTTCAAATTAGGTAACATGAAAAAGGTGCAAGTTTCCTGAACTTTATATAATGGTTGAGCGCCTGTGTATGTCACGATTGTTTATGCAATGATTTGTGCACAAGATGAACTTCTGATCCCAAATTACTTAAAAACTGTTTTTATATCCTAGTCTTTATTTCACGTTGGTTGCTGTTCTTGATGGTGGTAATTTTGCTACATTTTCTTTTTTCAAAATGAGGGCGGTCTTGATCAATTGTGTTGCCTGTGGAACAGGCAATTGTTCTTTGGAGCTGCCGCCATATCACGGAGAGGGGACTCACTGCACTTGTGAGTAATTGTCGCAAACTCGAATCCATCAACGTATGGGGGCTGAGAGTCTCCCTAGAAAGTTACATTGGGTTGCTAGCCATCAGCCCCGCTCTCCAAATAAAACCTGGGGATATGCATTTGAATGTGCGCAAACTTCCACTTTGGGCAGTCGCCTGACTGGATATCACTGTATTGATTGCTGTATGCTGTAAATAAAGGTTATGCACTTGAATATTACTACTTGTATAGATTTTTTTTTTTTTCCTTTATGGAATGATGTAATGTTTGTCATAAGCATATTACATGGTAGTACATGAGCACATTCATGTCGTAGCTTACTGCTAGAACCAGTGAAAATAAATTCATAAGATTGAAGGGACTATGATGGTGGGCAAAATTATTCTTATTTTTTATTTTTATTCAATTTATAAAGATGTATATTATAGTTTTAGTTTGAAGGTTTATTTCTAGGGGTTTTTAGCTTTTTAGGATTTTTAGAGTTTTTAAATTTATTTATTGATTTCATGAATACTGTTTATAGGGGTAACATTGTCATTATAAATTTTAAATTTAAATTAGGATATATGGGTCATTGTAATATTTGTTTGGACATTTTTTATAATTGAAACATTAAATTATATAAGAGGTATGTGGAGCCTTGAGGGGGTCATATTTCACATGATTTTAAGAGATTAAAAGAGAAAAAAGGCTAGGCTTTTGGAACTCTAGCTTGGGATAACGGAAAGAAATTCTAGGTTTCTTTGACCTGTGCTTGTATTTGATTTTGTTTCTTGCGGATTTTACTATTTTTTTAAATTTTCCTATATCAAATTGGTATCACGAAAGGTACTAAAGCATTGTATAGAAGTTATTGTAGCACTGTACAGACAATACTTACAGTGGGGTCTAAGGTTTGCTTATTTTTCCCAAAGTTTTGCCAAACAACCTAGATCTTGTTGATTGGAACAATTGTTTTTGCTGATTATTTACTTAGGGTTTGTGATTGCGATGCCCCCATGGCAGCAAGAAGGGGTCGTAAAAGGAGAATTTGATAGATCCGCTACGTGATTCCATAAATGGCGAAATTGAGGAACGTAAAAGGCAACTTCAACAGCTAATATAGCAATTTGCGAACCTCAATAGTAGGCAAGACGTTGATCTTTTAGCCCACGAAGATCTCAAGTACAAGGATTTTCACTTTTGGGCTCCGTATGGGGAGTCGAGTGATGAGGATAGTGACAGAGGACCTAGATGTGGGGAACACCATTCTAGGATTTTTTATTTGAAAGATGATATTCTTGCTTTTAACATAGATTGCATCGAAAATCAACAAGTTATGTATTGAGATTCACCCCCAATCTTCGTTATATACACAGATGAACAACAAGATCTTTTGGGAGATATGATTTATGATAAAGAAAAATTTTATGGGTGAATCAATCTTTGACAAAGTAAAAGATGAAAACCTTAAAAGATATCATAAGGGGGAACATTTATGAGATTCAGAGCATTGGAATCAGAATGGTGCAATGGAAGCATATTAGATTCAGAATCAGCAAATTGTGGCGTTGATTTCAAAGAATAATAGAATTAATGAGAAAAATCCTCTAAAGACCAGAAAATTAAGTTTGGAGTATCTTACATGATTTTTAATGAGAATTTAAGAATAATTGAATTTGATAAATCTACATCAATTCCTCAATACACAGATTAATATCAATTTTTGAAGAATTATTTTTACAACAAATAATCTTTGAGCTAACAAAGAAAATGCTTAAAGAAAGTGGTGTTGAAGATGAATTCATCATAGCACACTTCAAAACTCGATGATGAGTTTTCTCCAACTAGAGGAGAATGATAACGGGCAAAATTATTTTTATTTTTTATTTTTTATTTTTATTCAATTTCAAATTATGTATAGTATACTTGTAGTTTCAAGGTTTATTTCTATAGGTTTTTAGTTATTTAGGAATTCTAGGGTTCTCATTTTATTTATTTATTTTATGAATACTATTTATAAGTATGAGTATTGTTCATAGGGGTAAAATTATCATTATAAATTTTAAGTTTAAATTAAGATATATGGGTCAATGTATTATTTGTTGGGCATTTTTTGTACTTGAAATATTAAATAATATAAGAGGTATATGGAGCCCTAAGGGGTTGATATTCCACATGATTTTTAAAATTTGAAAGAGAAAAAAGTTTAAATTTTTGGAACCTTACCTTGGGGTGTGGAGAATAAATCCTATGTTTCTTTGACTTGTACGTGTGTTTGGCTCTGTTTTTTGCTGATGTTATTGCTTCCTCAAATGTCCCTATATCAGACTATGAACACCCTAAACATGTAATAAAGGTGCATATGAATTTCATGTATGTATATAATAGTGAAAATGTGACGGTCAGAAAATATCTTTTCGTGTGGTGGATGCATAGCATGAGCATTTCTACTCTATTTAGATTCATGTAAAGAGCCATGAGAATTTGAGACTTGAAATTTGTTACTTCCCAACTCTGCCGTTGCAAACCCCTTCGCAGCGAGTTGCGTTGTTTTTATGGGTTATTGAGTAATAAGACCCATTTTATGATCTTAGTCTTAGCAAAACCGTTCGTGCAGCCAGTTGCGATGTATTTATTTTGGATTCTATCTCTTTTTATCTTGTCACTCTAACCATTTCAACATTTTTATCTCAACTATACTCAATCTATGAGTATGTTGTTGTTTTGACCGCCAAACATTTTACCCCATAAAGTCAAGTTGGTCTCACCGCTGTTTTATAGAACTTTCCCCTCAATTTTTTTGGTACGCGGTGGTCACATAAAACTTCAGTTGTACATCTCCATTTTGCCCACTCAGCTTCAGCTTTAATTATATGTGCGACATCTTCCTTAATCTTTCCATTTTCTATGATTATCGACCTAATATATCAAAAGTGTGCTTTTTTTTTATACTTTTTAGTCATCAATCTTAACTATTTCATCGTCTCTATTATTATTACTAAACTTGCATTCTATATACCTTGTCTTTGTTTAAATAATTTTAAAACCTTTAGATTCTAGAGCATACCTTCAAAGTTCTAATTTCGTGTTGACACCATTTTAGGTCTCATCGATCAAAACAATGTCATCCACGAACAACATGCACCCCAGTACGTCAACTTGTAGGTGCTTAGTTAAGTTGTTCATAATTAAGACAAACAGGTATGGGCTCAATGTTGACCATTGATGTAGACTTTTTATTGCTGAAAACTCACTAATCTTTTCACTAGTTGTTCGTACATTAGTTAGCACCCCCTCATATGTATCTCTCAACAAGTCGATGCAGTATCTAAATACTCATTTCTTTTTCAACACCACAAAATCAAATCTCTACGTATTCTATCCAAAGCTTTTTCTAGATCAATAAATACCATGTGGATGTCTTTTCCCTTTGTCCTAAACTTCTCAATCAGTTGCTTAAATAGGACAATAACCTCAGTTGTTGACCTCCCTAGCATTAAACCGAATTGATTTTCTGATGCATTAGTCGTTGCTCAATCACTCTCTCCCACAGCTTCACAATGTGGCTAATAAGTTTGATCCCTTTGCACAACCTAGAAGTCTAATTTGTTCTTATAAATAGGTACCACACTACGTTTCCTCCATTCATGTGGCATTTTCTTTGTTCTCATCACATTGTTAAACAACTTGGTCAGTCAGCCAATGTCAACCTCCCTCATGCACTTCCAAACTTCCATCGGAATATTATCCGATTCAAAAGCCTTTCGTATCTTCATTTATTAACTATACATTCTATTAATTAATATATATTATAAAATAATGTATTAATTTTATGCAATAATTATATAGTTATTATAATTATACAATTATATATGATTCTAATTAATTATATGTTATGATATGTATAATTAATTTATATTTTATAGTAAAAATATCATATTATAATATTATAATATTATAATATAATATTTATTAATAATATAATTTCTATATATGTAATATTATAATATTGTAATCATAATTAATTATATATTGCTATATATAATGTGTATATTATATTAGATATATATTATTATAATATATAATTTATATATAATATTAATTAATATATCTTATAAAATAAGATATTAATTAAATGCAATAATTATATATAGTTATTATAATTAGAAAATTATATATTGTTATTATAATTAATTATATGTTATGATATGTATAATTAATTTATATTTTATAATAAAAACATTATATTACAATATATAATATAATATTTATTATAGTATATAATATTTATATATAATTAATTACATATTGCTATACATAATTTGTATACTGTAATAAATATATAATATTATGCTATATAATTTATGGAGAAAATATCTCCCTATCCTCTATTTTTAGGTTTCATTTCTCGATAAACTAAAGGTTTCAAAAGATATCTTCTAACCCATGGTCAATTTAAACCTATTTTTTAACTTAAACAAATGTGATAAAGATATGCTATTTTTAAACTCAAACATTTCTCTCTTCACTTATATGCTCCAAACTTCTCTATTTCCCTCTCTTCATGTGTCTTGCTCACTCTCTCTCCTCATGTGTTTCTCCAAACACATCTCTCTCTCGTCCCGGTAACCTCTCACCTTCTCTCACTAGAAGTTAGAAGTTTGGGCGGATAACTTTTAGAAAATGTATATCTTTTTAGATTTGTTTGGCCTAAAAAAATAGGTTTAAATTGAAACAAAAGACCTATGTGATTTTTTACCGGGAAAATACAATTTTTTTTTAATAGTAATAATCACCCCTTATAATTTTGGCAACAAAATCACTCACAGATGATCTTATTACAAACAATAGAAATTTCAAAAATAAAAAACACATCAATAAAATAAATCTCAACTACTTGATGCCATTCATACAACCGAATATTGTGCTTGAGAATATGAAATAAAGAACAAATAAGTATAAGATAACTATGACGGATATTAACTCAACCGGGTTTCTTACACCCCACACCGAGTCACCACATCTAATGGCACGGGATCTGCGGTCTAGCTTCAATCTCGAATCGAGAAAGCGGATTTTGGCCAAACTATGTAACCACCATTTATTTTTTACAAAACCCTAACCTTCAAAAATAATTTAAGCTTCCCTCTAATTTATACAACCCTTAGTTTCTTCTTAGGTCTAGGGAGAAAAAGAGTAGTAGCTAGAGTTGGGGCGTGGCCCCCCTTTGAAACTTTGGGATGGAGAGGGTTAGAGAGAGAAACTCAGAGGAGAGAGAGCGGAGCATGCCCCTCAAAGAGAGAGAGAATTGGAGAGAGAGATATTGTTATTATTTTAGAGATAGGAAAGAACTCTCCTATTTATAGAGAAAATAAGATCTAG